CTAACTCCTCTATAAGCTCACTGAACCGTGGTACGAGAAGTAAACGTTAAAACTTGCCCAAGCCATTCCGTTGAAACAAGGGGATTATTCAAATCCATTTTATGTATGACAGGAAATCCAGCCTTCCTCCTGTGTTCAGCTCACAGTATCTCTGTAGCTCTGACAGTAGCTCTGACTACTTCTCTTCCATGTGGCTTGCCAGCACGTTAGCAGCAGGACAGAATTAGATATGACTGTCAAGTGCTGGCACATCTACGAAAGCATGAAACCCCACCACTTGCTGACGAATGGAGGCCGAAGCCCTGAATTTTCCATGTTACAGCAACACAAAATGGAAGAGAGAGGCACAAACAAAACTTAAGGACATGGATGTCAAATCCTCTATTACAGTCTTTTTCAGTAGATTTCTAAAATAAGTAGTCTGGACACCAGGACTAGTGTCAAAGGTAGTTTCTTTAACTGGATAGGAAAGGATGTGGTTTTGCATCATTTTGCTGTAAAAGAAGCTGGAGCCTCACTGCTCAAGATGTTATTTCAAATGGCTGTATAATCAATACCTGAATTTTGATTATCCAGCAGTAGACCAAAATCATAAGTCACAGCTCCTCCATGCACATCTACAAAGGAAGTGCTGAAAATAAGTAGGATGCACACTGTTATGTCCAATGAGAGGGTCTTCAGTCCATGCTGTACACAAGTCTTTCAAAGTAAAGGCCTCAAAGCCTGCCTTATATTCAGCAGATCTTATTACCTTGTAACAAAAATAAAGTAAAATTTTAATTGCCAGTGCCATCATATGTGAAATCAACAGGGTTTAAAATCAGTCACCATTAATTTCAAAACATAGTATATAGAGGTGCTCAGATTGCAGACTCCTCCTGCATTGCATTTGCTGGTGAGCAGCCCACGGTCAACAGCCAAGCTCAACGGGTATAACACGAAAGCACTTGTTGATAGCTAAGGAAAAGCGATCATGCTGAAGTGCTATCAGCAGTCCATAGTCTAGAGTAATTTACGGTTCTGTTCTCTGCTGTGTGGGAAATTAAATCCTGGACTCAAGTCACGAAGCCTAAATTTGTTTTACAAGTAGTGGACTTGAATTACTACCAACTTCACTCTCAGGTCCTGTTGTCCCATGGCATTCTTGAGTCACATTGATCAGAGAGGCATTCTGACACAGCGGACCTCACGGGCCCCACGACTCTGGGAAACTATGCATTGCACCAGCAATATTTAGTCTTGAACACAAACACGAAATTACAAATGGATCTTGTCTACCAGAAAAGGATATTCCAGATGCATTAAGACATAACTCTCCAGATGACACATTCTTCGGTGCATAGCTGCTTTTGGCATTTTAGAGCACAGAGGGTAAGTGGGATTAGTATTGTGAAGAGCACAGGAATGTATGTATTGTATTATAAATATTCTATATCTGACTCCTCAGTTATGCATTTACCGCATTTTCATACCAAGAGCTTCCTAAAGCTGTGGCTAGCCTGTCTCCCCACGCGCCCCTCCGCTCCTCCAGCACTCGACCACTGCTGACTTACCGCCTTCAACTGCACTGTGCTGTCTAACAGCACGTATTTGTCCTATCCTCTAACCACAGCGACACGGCAAGCCAAGGAAGTGGAAACAGAGTAGTGTGGGTTACCAAAGAGGGCCCCCAAAGGACACACAAGTGGTATTGAGCTACAAGAGAAAAAAGCTGCATGGGACACAGGAGAGGGCTCCTGTGCCTTTCCGTAAGTCATAGGATGTGGACATACGTTGTTTCAGTGGAACTACTGAACCCTAATGCTTAGGAACAACCACCAGAAGCAGCACTTTTCACCACAAGTAAGCCAACAGAGACACTACGGCTTTTATTCCCTGCTGTTAACACTTCCCTAAAATATAACAAAGGAAGGTATCTGGCAAGTTCTTCACCTGAGTAAAACTGTATCTACAAGAACTGCACCTTGTTACACACTGGTTTCCTCCGTTCACTAAACGGGCTGAGGCTCTCCCCTCCCCTTTAATCTCTTAATATAAGAATTTCACATAGCTGTTGAACTAACATACAACTAGTCAGACACCCTCTCTATGACAATACAGCAACACATTAAGTTAGAAGGGAGAAGACTTCACTGAGACAAAATAATTCTCTGAAACATGTTACATCTGCCACAAGAAATCTAGCAAGTAAAACTTCTGCTTACATTTACACTTGAAAAGAAATTCAATCCCCAATTATTGTCCTGGCTTGTAAGGTTGGCAGAATACAAATGTTCGCAGGATAGATCTTCACAAATGTTTAATGGATCTTGAGTTTTAAGTCTTAGTTTTAAGCCTCTTCGTAGCAGTTCAAGGAACAAGACCTAAGCATTCAAGAGATCCCTGAGACTGAAATAAGAAACATTTGGTGACACTAAAGAGTCCTGAGTTGGAAAAATAGCAATGTTCTTCAGCAGAAAGTTCGGGCCTAACTCTTTGCCATTGTAGCACTGTGAAGATCCATTTACAGTCGAGTAAAGAAAAAAGAATTTTAAATTAAAGTATTTCATCCTGAAATACTGTAGCATTCCTTAAGGTTTTATGTGTTTTAAACTGTTAACAGTAACTGACATATATAATAACTTGTTTATATAATTCACTGGGTAAAACATTTTGTTTTGTAAAGTGCAAAGAGGATACTGCCTTTAAAGAACATTTTACAAGTTTTAAGTGAGCCCATTACAAGATTCCAGTTGCTGCTGGTCGTAAAACTGCAAAAAGTCTTGCTCCTCATTCTAAGACTCTGAGATGCAATGTAAGCTTTATTCCGTCTTGGCCACAATTTATTTCTCCATCACATCAACTTACGATTCAGCTTTCAGCTGTGTAAATAGCAAACTACCAGCTCCCTAATGCCTGGATCTTCAGAGGAAGAAAGGAAAAAGAAAATAAAAAATAAAAAAGAGAGAATGAAGGAAATACTTGCACACCTTTAAAACAGATGTTTAGTTATATCATTGGTCTTAAAAAGAGCTATTAAGACACTGAAAGTATCTTGCAAGTTACAGATTGCCACTGTATTTAAGAACAAATAACTTACCAAACACGAAAACTCACACTGGCAAAAAAGAGGACTCAGGAGCATTCATTTCCATTTCTGGGTATTTAAGGCATCAAACAAAATTCTAGTAATTCGTATTTTTAGGATGCTAAATGAGACTTGATGGGAACCATCTAAAATTCAGTCATTGACCCTGAATATTCATTTGGGCACAGAGATCCATGTCCTTGGAAGATTAGGATCTTTGCAATAGCGAGTCCAAAAAAGAAGTATTTGAGGATGAAAATAGAATAAAATTACATTGCCACCATTGCCAACCTTCCCCTGGTACAGAAAACAAATTTAAAACTAGTTTTTCATGATGCACTTTTAACATGGAGCCTTATGCATAAACATTAATTCTGGAATGAAAGATGCACTTACTGTTTTTAACTTTTTTTTTTTTCGGTATGTTAAAACACAATGCCTGGTTACAAGCACAAGCTATCACGGCCCCCAGCTCTCTTCCCCCTAAAAAAGTTG